AGCTACTAGGAACAAGTGCCACGCTAGTAGTAACACGTGCCTTACTACTAGTAACAAGAAGCTACTAGGGGCTCCTGGCCTTACTACTAGTAACAAGATGTGAAACAGGAGTTCTCCTAGGTGCCTGCTCTTCCTGGTGTTAGGTAGGTTGAGGCTAGGCTGAAAGAGCCCGCCTTTTGGTTTTTTGGCTCAAGGTGCAAAGCGCACGAAGCCTGACAGCCTCGACTGTGTGGCGAAAAGTCAAGCGGTGTTCTCGAGCCGACACGTCGCTTTCGCAGTTGGGGGCTGTTCTGGGAATCTCGGTGTCAAAGACCCCAGGATAAGCAGTCGAGGCCTCAGGCTCACTGCTGAGATGGCAAAGCAAGTCCGAGGATACGAAGGGACCTTGCTAGAAGCTATCGAGGCAGGTGTGGTGCCGCGGCCTGAAAGGTTGCGGTACAGGGAGTGGCTTGCTTGGCGGGCAGCGGAAGGACAAAGGCCTTCGCGTCGCCGTGGGGATACCTCAGGTACCACTACAAACGGTGAAGAAGCGGAGCTGTGGCGCGAGGTCATGCGCGCGCTCCATGAGGAAGACCCAGGAGAAGCAAGTGAAGGAAGTAGCGACAGTCAGGAGGAGGAAGAGCTGCTGAGTGCGGACGACGGGACTGGAAGGGACCGTGCGGCCACCGGCGCCGGGAGGTCGACAGAACATCCTGACAGGTTTGCGCTGGAGGATGGGAGAGCGACTCCTGCTTCTTCTACTGTCGGCAACGAAAGTGTGTTCAAGGCACCAGTTACTGCCGAAGCACTTGAGCACGCAATGGCACGGCCTTACGATGGGAATAAAGAAACAGCAAAGAAGTTTGCGCGAAGGGTTTACCGAATTGCAGATGTCCTGCAAGAAATGGGAGCTGAGGTGGACATGCAAGAAGTGGAGCTCAAGGTGGCTCGCGCCATTTTTTCAGAAAAGGTTCAGGGGCAAACGCCTGAGGAACAGCTCGCCTCTCTCAAAGAGTTTTTCCGCGAGTTATTGTTGGAAGATCCACCTGAAGAGCAAGAAGGAGAGCATGAAGCCCGTTTAGAAGTCCTGTTGCATATGATTCAGGAGAGAGGCGGGAAACTCAGCAAAACCATGGGAAAGGTCTTCTCTTCAAATGAAGGGACGCCTGAAAAGAGCGGTCCGTCGAAGGTGTTGGACTACACTCCAGCGGGCAGGGGCCGCGGAGAAAGCTCTCCTGTGGGCTTAGGCCACGGAGATGGGTTTCGAAGCCCAGCTATCGAGAGGCCAGCCGCAGAAGTGGCGGATCTCAAGCGGCGCGTCGCCGAGCTGGAAGGAGACGCTCGGTCCGAGGCTAGTAGGGGTGTAGATGTGAGCGCTTTTGCTGAAGCCATCGAGAAACAGACGAAAGTCATGGCCGAAGCACTCGGAAAGAAACAGAAGCGCTCGACCATTCAAGTCAGCCCAAAAGTCCATTGGCCCACGTTGGATGATGAGTGCAGCGACTACCGGTCAGTCCAGGAGTTCTATGACTCTTTCGAAGCCACGATTGGGTTAGCAAATGATGGGGACGGGATGACTGACATGGAAAAGCTCACCACGTTGAAGGCGTGCTTGAAGCAGCACCGTTTGAAAACGTATGAGCTGATTTACCGCAAGAACCTCGGCTCGGGAATAGTCAAGGAAGATCCTGGCGAGGTGTACAGGCAAATCAAATCCAAACATTTGATGTTCTCCGAGACTGCGGAAGAGAAAGAGATTCGCGTCTTGGAAGAAGGTGATGCCCTTCAGAAAGGAAAACTCTCCGCCTTCCAGTGGGAAGTGCGATGGGAGTCTCACCTGGCGGATCGAGACAGCGTTGGGCTTGGTCTAAACGCGAAGGAAGCCTTGATCCAATATTTCAGGAAGATTGGGCCCGCGCTTTCCCGCGACGTAAGACGTGACAGACGTTTTCGGCCAGATGGGTCGGGGGGAAATGTGTTCCGCGCAGTTGCGACATGGGAGGAGGCTCATGAAGTCGTAAAGGAGATAGAGGAGACAAATGCAGGACAGAAGGGGCTAAACAATAGCACGTTTGCCGTCAAGCAGGTTGGAAAGGATGGCAAGAAGGGAGCAGATCAGATTCACGCGCAAGGCTCGGAGTCCTTAACGGCAAAGGTGTGCTATGAAATGCGGGACAAGGGCACTTGCTCCCGCGGAAAGGATTGCAAGTTCTCCCACGACAAGGCAGTCGTGGACGAGGCAAGAAGGAAATGGGTGAAAGAAAAGAAGCAGCAAGAACGGCCTTCCGAAGAGCCAGTAGCCAAGTACGAAGGAGGGCGGAAAGGAGGAAAAGGAAAAGGTAGTGGCCGAAAAGGGGCGGATCAGGCAGGATCCAAGGGCGGGCAGGACGACCGTAAGTCCAAAGCGTGTAGATTCTTCAACACTGCCGGTGGCTGCTCAAGAGGATCCAAGTGCCCGTTTAGTCACGCCTTGCAAAAGGGGTCTGGAGGTCCTCCAGGAAAAGGCAATTCTGGTCCTCACCTTCAGCTCGCTAACCTCCCGGACCTCCGTGGTGTAGATGGAACTGGCAGAGGCATGGAATGCAGTAACCCTTTTGGTTGTTTTGAGCCTGTGGTGTGCAGTGGGAACGGCCGAAGCCAAGCGACCGAAAAGGTGCTGGCTACAGATCCCAAGGCCAAAGGCAAGAAAGGGAAGGCCGGGAAGCAAGGAAAAGGAAAAGGGAACAACAATGATCTGACAAGTCTGGATCAGCTCCCGCAGCGTTGGTGGACTGAGTCGCCAAACTGCAAAGGGGGGTACCAGTACCAGACAGAGGTCAAAGTGCTGGATAGGTATGTCGGATGCTTATTGGATGGCTGCGCAGGGTGTAATTCAATCACCGAGGAAGTAGTGATGGGAGCCATCCGAGCAGCTTTGCAGCAAGGGATCGGGCCGGACAGTGAAAAGTTTCCGGTGGCCCAATTAGAAAGATGGCCGCAAGAAGAAGTCGTGATGGGTTTGGCAAATGACGCCCCTATCAAGCTGAAGGGTGCGGTCGTGATGCGCGTTCAGATGCCTGACGTGAACGGCCAAAAGGTCGAAGAGATCCTCGTACGGGCAAAGGTAATCGGCAAAGGGTTGTCGACGTGGCAAGGCCTGATCCTCGGCGGCCGGGCGCTGGACGCGGTGGAGCGCGGCGGACTGGGTTTTAGGCCAGCAGCGTCGTGCCATGTGTTTGACGGCTTGGGAGTGAAATTACCTAGAAAGGAGAAGATGGAGCCGTTTCCAGACCGTGCCTATCCATTTGTCTCTATCCCAAAGACCCTGTTCGATCAGGCATGGGATCCGGACGAAGAAGGTGACGAGGTCAAGATGGAAGGCGAAGTGTTCGTCAGTGAAGAGGACCTCGCGATGGAGCCGATGACAGGGGACTGGATCAGAGTGACCAGTCAGGAAGGGACATCTAGGCGGCAAGTTTCCGAAGGAGACACCGTGATTCTGCCCTTCGAAGGAGCAAAGGCTGAAGTGGTGCCAGGGATCTGGGACCCGAAGCAAGCTGAAGGTCAGGTATACGTGGCTGCTCAGGACACAGAGATCGTCATCTCCAAAGGGGATCCACTCTGTGTAGCCGTTCGAGCTGGAATCGAGCAGGAAATCTGCCCGACTTGCCAGGTTGTGGAAGCAGCAGCCTGGATCTCAGGTCCAGAGTGTGAGGCGTGCAAGGGAATGCAAGTTCCTAGATGCGGGACAAATGGTCTTTGCAAGAGATGTGGAAGTCGCATGGTCGGAAGAGAGCAGAAACGTTGTGCTCGATGCAGACCGCAGCAGGCAAATGGCAAGCCGCAAGTGGTGCTGCTCCTAGCAGGCCTCATGGCGTTCTTGACGGCAGGGGTTGCGGCCGAAGGCGCGCCCGAAGCTGTAAGTAAAGGAGTGACATCTACATGGAAGCCGGCGCAAGAATCAGTTTTTCACATTGTAGAGACTCCAGGGGCTTTGGACCTCATGGCGGAGGAGAGTCCAACGGACGAGTACTATCATCTCTTACGGGAGGATATGGAGAAAAGGTATCCGGAAGCCTCAATCCATCTGTTGGACCACCTTGAAGCCCTGGAGTCCTTCCTAGATCGGAGTATCATCGCAGGGATGACGTTTGGCATAGACAAGGCAAGCGTCGCTGTTGTGGAAGGCGAGCTGCTAGGACATGTCGTCGGACGTTCTGGCGCCCGAAGCAACCCTGAGCGGACCAGGGCGGTCGCCGGGTTTCCGCCTCTGAAAGAGAAACTCCATATCCAACAATTTCTTGGATGCACAAATTTCTTGAGAAATTACCTCCCTCCACAGTATGGTTATTGCGCAAAAGTGCTTGGCCAGTATATGAAGGGAACAGAGAAAATCCCAGAAAGCGGATTGGGCCCTGGAGATACTCTCGGGGACAAAGCAGTAAGAGCGATAAAACTGATGGCTCGGCGGTCGATCGAATTG